CCCGGCATGAGCCCTCGGGGCGCCGGCGGCGGGGGGCTGTGGGCCGCCCCCTTGGCCGCGCTGCTGTCTCTGCCAGGTGAGTGCCAGCCGCGGCGGCGCCCAACTTTGCGCGCGGGGGAGAGGGGGCGCAGCCTCCCCGCAACTCGGGCGGGCCCCGCCGCGAACAGGTGTTGTGCTGCCCCGCCCCGGGGCACGTTTGCTGGGGCCCCCCGGGGCACCTGTTTGCACCCCCACGCCTTTGGCTTCCTCTTCTGCTTGGGCCTGGCGGCTGGGAAAGTTCAGGGGCGCAGAGGCGAGTGGGGCTGGCTCAGCTGAAGCACAAGGCGCAAGGGAAGTTTCTGTCAGGAGGGGACAGCGCCGCGGGGCAGCTTGACTGGGGGTTGCTTGAAGGGCTGGACAAGCCACTCTGACCCCCCTCCCCTCAGCCTCCTCTGCTAAGGCGAGGCATGGGTCTTGGACGGCTGCCGCTACCTCTGCACAGGCTCCAAACACCCTTTGAAAGGCAAGACTGTCGCCACCGAGCCCCGCTTCTGGGCAGTGTCTGCTGGGTCTTGGGAGTCATTCCCGTGGGTGCTCTGCTCGGCGTTCCCTTTCGGATCCCTTGTTTTGCACCTCTGGTCTCGCTCCCTTCCCTGCTTTCCTTTTACTTTGTCCTGTGGAATTAGTTGCTACTTTCTCACTAGCCTTCCCTCTTAAGGGAGGTTTACAGTTTTTCTTGGTGGGCATTGGCCTACGGTACCTTAAAGTTGCAAATTGGGCTTGTCACCACAGAAGGCTGCCTCGCACACAGGGTGCTCCCTGTGGGGCAAGGACAGGAGGGACAGCACGACGCCACCAACAGAGGCAAAACGCACTGCTGAAAAGCACTCGGGGACGAGGCTGAGGAGGGCCACAGGAGAAGCCCTGCGGCGCAGACTCTTCAAACACATCTGTTGATGGGCTAGTTCTGCCCTTCTGCCAGCTGCAGCTGTGCTTTGGGGTCTGGCTTCCCCAAGGTGGCCAGTGTTAAGAGTTAAGACTTGTAAAGATGCAGCTCTTTTAAAGCACTGGGTTCGTATTCAGCAGTACCTAAATGGCTTGGGCTCCCAAGGTCCATTTTTAAAGCCCAGGCCACTGGGTTCTCTTGAGGAAGTAAGCTCTCAATTTCAACACGGTGGATGGTTCAAATATATTTCCCCACCTATTTTCACTCATTCAGCACGGTCATGTCTGGGTTTCCTCTCTCTGGTCCATTCACATTTCCAGGCAGTGCCCACTGGCTCCTTGGACTCAATCAAGGGCCAACGGGTGCTGTCCAGTGTACTCTGTTTGGTGTCCCGCCTTGGTGCACTCTTTTTGAACCTGTGGCCCTCTCTCCCATCCCTGTTTTCTTCTTTAGTTGTTCCCGGTAATCACTTGATGTGCACTTAGTGGCCCCTCAGTTTAAGGGGGAATTTTAGCTTTACTTGGTGGGCAATGGTCCACACTCCCCATGCACATCAGATAGGCCTGTCATGTTTGGGTTGCTAACCATTCAAAAGCACGCCTGTTTCAAAAATAACATTTTCTATCACAATTACCAGTGGGTGGAAATGATGAAAACATTCCAGAGGATGTGAGATTTTTCTAAAACCTTATTACCAAACCCCAATTTTAGAACAGATTGGAGATGATGTTTTACTGTCCCAAGGCATGGTTAATGATCTAACCGATTTTTCTTTTGAGGTTTGGGTTTTCATTTATTTATTTATTTTTTGTATAATGTTGGCAGATGCTATTTGACACATAACAAATTTACCTCTAAATAAAATATGTCAATTTACACTACAGTAATTGTTTCCCGGCATCTTCCTCCTCAATATTTAAAGATACACAAGACTGAACTGCTCCACAATTTTGTTTCTTTTTTTTTTTATGCCTTTGGAAAATGCGTAGAAGCTGGTGGAAGGTAAAAGTAACAGTGGTGCAGGTATTTGTGTTATAATATGTATCAGAGTTATAATTTTTTGTTACTTTGTAGCTAAACAATCTGGTGATGGTATGAGTGTTGGATGCTTCGCTTGACTTCTGATGCACTAAAATATATTTAGGTGGTTTTGTATCCATATAACATTTGGAGGAGACCCACAGGTGTTTTCCACTTGGAGTTCAACATTTAGGGAGGGGCTGTGGGCTGTTTGTTTTGCTACTGACGGCAAAGTATTTAAAGATGGCATTGCATGCAAGATGATATTTAAAGAAAGGGTGGAACATTTTGAAAAAATGCTGCAGACTCTTTGGAAGCCAAGGAACGTGTATTCAATTTAAGTGCTTAAAACCAAGCAGAAAAAAAATATAACAAGGTACGGTCAGACTGTATTGAATTGTCCAAGAGGAACTAGGTATAGTGTTGTGGTATTTTTTTGGTTGTGAAATGCTAGTGATTCTTTCACACAAAAGCTAATTTGCTGATTTGGTTAAGTTTTTAATGCCCATATTGCATACTCTTCAGCTCAAGGGTAATGTCTTTATTTCTTTTGCAAAGCATTATGGACAGTTTATGCAAATATTGTAGAATAGCTATCCCCTGCCCTCCTGACGAGTACATGAAAAGTGGGGAAGGAATTATACTTAAAGCTTTGAAGCCTAACCTATCATTACAAATCAATCCTGCAGTTGTTGCCAGCAATAGCATATTGCAAATGTTCAAACGTGTTAGAAATTGCACATTGGGAACAGCTAAACCGAAGAGTTTTTAACAAACTGCTGCTTGGACCCTGTGAGGTAGTGTCACCACAGGTGATGTGCTGGTGCATAACCACCCACATGCAATTTGGGGCATGGGAGACAGAAGTGCTCACAGCCCTGCATTGATCCAGCCTGAGTCCCAGCAGCTGCTTTGCAACTTCTCAGGAAACACTTGAGTCCTGATCTGAAACACCCCCAGCTGTTTCATTCCAGGCCAAGGCTCCTTTTACACAGTATGCCTCAGTCCTGCCATGCAGCACCTCCATCTGTTCCAGATCTGTCCCCTCTTCCTTGCAACTCTGCTGTAGCTCCTCAGCCATAGCAAGAGGCCTGTAGCATCACTGGTTCGGCTGTGCTAAGGCATCTTCCAAACAGATTGCCATTTGTGTCGAGCTGTGTGGTTTCATGACATGTAGATCAATCATTTCACTTGTGACCTTACTTTAGTCTCCAGTGGTAAAGCACACATGCCTCTTGGATTTCTATTGCGGGCTTCCTTCTTTTAGAAAATAGGCATATCTGATTCTCTATTTCTTTTGCCCTCAGTACTCTTCAAGTGTTTTTTTTTTTCCCTGTGTAAGATTCCTGCCATGGTGGGATTTCAGAAAGACTTCTGGCACAGTAAAAAATTAGCTTCTTTGAAACAGTGGAATAGGTAGTCCCAGTGCTGCCGAAACAGTACATTAAGAACCTTACAATTTCTTGTTGCTTTCTTAAAAGGTGAGCCACTATTATTCTACCAGTATTACAAGGGTAGAAACTGAGGCTTCGAGTCTTTTACTCAAGGTCAGTGGTGGAGCCATGATGAGAGTCCAGTAGTTCTAGCTCCACTACTCCAAGTTCCAACTGCTGGAGAACATATAAATTCATGTGGCAGGATAAGCAATATTCCTAATGGTACTCTTCAGGGATATTCACTACTAAATTGTGGTGAGTCATCTATATTTAGCAGGATGCTACTATCATCATGCTTTTTAGAGTAAAGTGCTTTTAACACAATTTATTTCAAGGAGAAATGCACATGGTGAGAATCTATTCTTTGGCATTTTCTCCTTGTTGAGCATTAATGCTCCTTTCTTTTTATAAAAGTTTAGAGTGAAATTTAGCTTCTGAACATAAGCAAGGACAGGTATAAGGAGGTTACTTACCTCATCGTTTAATACCACAATGGTTTTACATTAAGTAAAAGAACACTCCTGAAATGTTTGTTTGATAGGACAGAAAACATTGCCCCCCACCTCCAACTTCCTTATGGGGTGAGGAATTTGAAGCGTAGAGGGGGGCTTTGGCTTGATCGCTGCTGTATAGAGCATTCTCTTAGCTCTGCACCCAAACTCAGAATTGCTTTGCTTACAGTCATGTTATTAGATAATTTTCTTTTTCTGGAAGGTAGAAAGGGGTTTACCATTATTAGTTATTTACAGTGGACTGATTTTTCCACGTAAATTATTATCTGCTTAGTTCTAGTGGTCCATCACATTCATTCTGGGTTCAGACTTAAGTCATTTACAGAGCTGTGCTGAGGACAAAATTCTGTTGCACAAAGGATTTCAAAATTAGATTTCATTCTGAATTGAAATGAAAACTAAAATTTTGAATTCTCCAAGGGAACACTGTGAAAGAAATTTCATTTCTGGCCAATCAAAATACTTTATTTCCACCTTAAATTTTTGTAATATTTAATGCAAAATAAAGCATCCTAAATAAGACATCATTTCAAATGGAAAAATGTAAATGGTTCATTCCAGAAACATGAAAATATGTTTCAACTAATATTGAACCTTCTTTCCTGGTTTTTTCTCCTCTGAAACAAAATTCTGGTGAAGCTGTATCCAATTTTGTCAGAATACAATCTGTTTTTTGCTAAAGTTTCTCTAGGCAACACTAGTTTGTTTGTTTTTTGTTTCTGAAGGAGGTGATAGGATTAAAAATGATTAAAACTCCAACTCCTCATGACCAGTAATATTTGGAAACATTGTTTTGCTCTAATAAATATTGATCTTCCCATCCTTCCTCCTCATCTTCTGTTCTGACTGCTGCATGTAAACACCTCATGTACAGATGCCATGCTGCTTGTGTCCTTCCTTATTCATGTCTAGGGAGAGTCCAGTTTGCACCAAAATGAGCTGATGGTGTAACATGAAATAAGATGATTTTCAATCAGCAAAATACAATTTTAAAAAGCTACTAATCTGTTTCACCTTCTGCAGCAGTTGTTGGAAGAGAATAAAAACAGAGCTGATAGATTTGACAGCCATTTTATTACTTGTGCACATGCAACATCATGCCTTCTGTCTGGATATGCACACTCATTTGCTTTTATTCATGCAGTTCTATCCAAGTGCAATTCCTGTAGTAGAGAAGCCAGAG